GAAAACTTGGATTAAACTTCAAAACAACTTTTTTTTTTTTTTTTTTTGGTGGAACCGGGGATTGAACTCAGGCCCTTGCGTTTGCCAGGGAAGCGCTTATTCCACTGAGCCATCTCCCCAGCCCCAAAACAACTATTAAGTCCAAGTACAAACTACTCTATTTATTAAGCAAATATTCTACAAAATGTTCAATATCACAAATATATGTATTCATCCAATTATTCGACTAAGAAATATTATGTAGTATAAAGAGACCAAACCCAGTGCAAATCAAAACTGTAACAAGTCTGATTCAGCAGAAATCCAATTCTTCAGGTGTTTTTACACATCACAAAATTTAAAGGATGCTTCAAAAATAGTAACAGGAAATTATTTTATTAAATTTAAATATTCCATTTGTTTTATAAAAACAAATATAAGAGCAGGCCAAATAGCTTGGAGCCGGGGGTTTGATCCCCAGGCCTGCCATGCCAGCCCGCCCCTGGGGGCGCACTGAGATGGCGGTTGAGACTGGATGGCATGGTGGTGCACGCCTGTAATCCTAGCTCTTGGGAGGGTGCAAACAGGTGGATCACTACGAGTCTGATCTAGTAGAGAGACCCTGAACACCCTGTAGACCCTTCCTTAATATACAAAAATAAATAAATAAAATGTAAGGGGGCAGCCATATGCAATAGCACTAAGTGATTAAACATGAGAAATCTCCATCCGTAACTGCTACACAGTAAGAGGCCTCAGGACATCATTCATGCAATCTTGATCTGAAAACTGGACATAGCACCACTTACCTAACACAGGTAACACACAGGTATTAATGAGACAACCTAGGTGACAACATTTACATTTACTAATTAGAAAAATCTGCAGCTATAGGAAATGGCAAGTAATATGAGGATACACATTGAGAACTAATCTTTAACTCTGAAAGAGAAACTCAAGGTCGAAACAATGGAATACAAGGATCCACAACTATATACAAAAAGCATGAAAATAAGGGACCACCAACATAAAGGAAGGGGTACATGGTAAAGGACTACATGCTGGGAAGAGTTTCTTCAACAGGAAATGAAAGCATAAGGCACTAAAGGACTTGCTAGTAGTGCATGTGGTCAAGACACTATGAACTCCACACTGGGTAAGTGAACTCTTGGCAGAGGAGTAAGGTAATAGCAACCACAGCAGCTAATGATTCTTGAGTATTTACTATGTGCCAGCTCCCAAACTAAGCACTTTAAATGTAAAAAATGTTGTACCTAATTTAACTTCATAATTCAAAAAACATAGTGCACTTCCAAGGACTTGCCCGAGGGCCTGCAATGCACAAGTGGTGGTCAGGAACTGAAATAACCCTGGAAGATTCTAGAGATGAGTAGATCAAACTGTGAAAGGTCTTCAAAATTGGACATTGGTAAACTTAAAATGCTAAGTATAAAAATTTAAGTAGTTTTAATTATCACTCCATGAGATGACGATAAAAATGGTATGTGAGGGGCGGGAATATAGCTCAGTGGCACAAGTGTTTGCCTGGTAAGGACAAGGTCCTAAGTTGAATTCAGAATATAAAAAAATGGTAGGTAATAAAATGTTAATATATTTAAGGAAAACTGAAAATTTACTAAAGAAGAAAAAAGGAAAAACAAACAAACAAATAATCCACCCTTTAGTGAACTGTGACCAGATCATCACACAATTCTCTACCCATCACAGAAAATCATGCTGCGAACCTGGATTTTCAGTCTAACTCAGAGACTTATATTACATTGAATGAAAGGTCTTGAGAGTTTTTATTTTTTATTTCATTTATTTTTTTCATTTGTGTATTTGGTACAGGGTCTCACTATGCAGATGGCACTCATGCGGACCCTCCTGTTTTCAGCCTCCCCAAGCACTGGGATTACAGGTGTGCGCCACCATGCCCGGACTTGGTGACCAGCTAAGTGCACCCCATGGGCAGGGCTGGGGTGACATGCAGAATTGGGGATCAAACCCTGGTCCCTGTGCTTGCCAAAGCAGGCACTTAGTCCTCTGAGCTGTCTCGCTGGCCCAAGTTCTTGAGAGCTTTTAAACAAAGAATTTCTTTTTGAGTTAGTTACTTTTAGAGAAAAATCTGAAGAAGAAAAAAAAAATCCTAAAAAGCATACAAACAAGCACTTAGAAAGGTTTTCACACTAAAGACGTAACAGAAAATAGTGGGGATAGAAGACTGTAAAAATTATGCACTCTTTACATATTTTGTTTTAGGAGAAGCAGCTGTGTTAATATACTCTGTTGCCAAATGTCTACTCTGAAGCGCCCCTGATAGCTCTGCTTCAGAAATGTACACAAGCCTGTTGGAAACATCTACTGACAGAGTTCAAGAGAAGACCCTAGGCTGCAAAAGTGGGGTTTGCTGGTGCCAAGTGAAGCCATGAAGGTGAATAAAATCTTCCAGAAGTAAACTGCAGTGATAGAAAAATCAAGAAGAAATATATAAAAGGAAATGGAGAATTAGTGACAGGCTGTAGTTTTCAGCACACACAAGGTCCTAGGTTTGATCTCCAGCACTGCAAGAAAGAAGAAAGGATTGCTTAAGAGGTAAAACTATGACTTGTGTCCTTGCGTGCAGCAAAGCCTAGTGGATGCCAGCCGAGGAAGGCCATAAAGGAGAGTTGAAAGTCTAAAACCATCTATTCTATTTATGGCTAGTACAAGAGAAATAAATATTTGGAAATATCCAAAAGGAGGTGAAAAAAGCAGCTGACAATGGATAAGTTAAATGAAGATTAATGGTATAATTCTCTTTAACATTTTAAGGACACTAACAAGGACAGTATATTCTCTAACCTGCTTGGTCCTGGACAAGATAACAAAGATAAGCAATGGGAGACAGTGCTAAATTATCTGATGACCAAAGAGTTCAAGGTGTTTAAAAAACAAAAGCAAAGCCAGAAGAAAGTCAATAATAACCTGACAAAATCCCTGGCATCAAACTTGAAAAGCTCCTATTTGGATAATAGAAAATAGGAGAGAAAACAAAACACCAAACAAACAAAAAACCCTTCTCAAGTCAAAAATGTATTTCTCAAAGTAAATTCTATTTGCATTTATAGTCTCTATTATATCAATCAGACACTACAATACTTGACTGTATATTTATCAGGTTTCATGTTCACTTTCCTTATCTTCCCAAAGACACTACAAAGTCTTTAAGAGCAGAACTATATAATACCTGAGGCAGTCAGAAATCCTTTCTACAAAGAATGTATTAATTATAATCATTAAGAGAGCTAAAACTTAGCAATCACACTGTGCCAGTACTATCCTAAACATGTATTAACATACCCAACAACCTTGGGCGTGTACAGTTTTACAAAGCAGATTTTAGGGAGAGGTTAAGTAACTTCACTAAGTCTGGTGCTTGAGGACAAAATTATACTATCCAAAGTTCTGTAATGGTTAAGAGCACAACTTTGGTTTGAAACAGAGGGGAGCCTGACTCTCAACCTGTTATTTATTAAACTGTGAGCTTTTATCTTATAAAATCGTTACTGTGGAAAAAATTAAAATGTTAGCCCCACACCCAACATAGAGCACCTGTTGGTAGACTCTAGCTTTGTTTCCTTAAAAAGGCACTTTAATCTCTTAACACAGGGTGCAGGGAACCAGGACTTCCACAAAAGGACCTAGGCAAGAATGATCAGGCATCTTATCCAACTTGCAAAGTGCAATTTCTGCAAAGTCCACATGTGAGCAGCACACCTAGTTTTCTTCCTTGTGAAGATTCACTGAGTGAATGCTGTGCCCTAGGCACTGGGCACTGTAGTAGTTTCCAGCATTGAAAATAACTCTTAGCAGCAGTTAGGATCATTTCAGGATTTTATGATGAATTCAAGGCAAGAGCTCTGATTTTCCTTGTATCTTTCCAGCACATACTTAGAATGTAAACTTCTGACCAAACAATTAGAGCCTCAAGGTAATCATTAGTAATAGTTGTCTGAGACAGAAACTTGCCAAATAGTTTCTTTCAATATGAAAAACAAAATGTTTTATTAATAGAATATTAAACATTAAGAATTATGTTTTCTGGCAATTAATGCTTGATAAATGATTTTTGCACCTTAAGTAGTCATTAAACATAGATGACATACTCTAAAAAAACACAAGCAGTAAATCCTGTGGAACAACAGCCCATATACTTTCATCTAAAGAGAACAGAGTTTCTATTTTAGCACTATTAATACCTGGACATAGTAACTACTGTGGGAGAATGTCTCTACCATCTATCCAGAAGCTTTCATTCTTCCTCAAATTGTGACAATCAAAAAATGTCTCCTGAGGCCAACCATAGTGGCACTTGTCTCAGCATTTGGGAGACTGA